TTGGGGTGGGTTCGGGTTGGGTTCGGGTTGGGTTGTGTTTCGGTGTATAAGTGTTGCCAGTTCGCTGAGCACTTGAGTAGCGACAACAAATAATTACAACAACTACGACAGCGACTAATGCGCTAGTTACTCTTGTCTGGCAGGGAGTGGGTAGGGGGGAGGTTGAGGGGGGGAAAGTGAAGAGTGCAGAGAGAGAGAGAGTGAGTGAGGGGTAAATGTAGCAGAAAACACTTCATAATTTAATTAGTGCTGGCAGCCTCGTTCCCATTAACCAGCAGAGAACGAAACAGAGATAGAGCAAGAGAGAGAGAGAGAGAGAGTGAGAGTGAGAGGGAAAAGTCCATCACAGAGAGAGAAAGAGAACGGCAAGGAAAACCTCTCACAGGTGAAGACTGCGACTGAGAAGGGCCCAAAACGAAGATGTAGAAGCGGAGCCCATCCTGAAGAATAAATAACTTAATTAATAATTATAATAAAAACCATCTTACGCACGTTTATATCCAAGAAGAGGTTAGGAGGAGTGGTGGGGAATGGTAAGAAGCGGACAAGACAGGGCCCAAAGCGCACCGGACAGCCAGGACAGGAGGATTGGATAGACAGCGACTGGCTGGCTAAGGAGGACTAAGGACTAACAAAGGCAAAGAGTGAAACAATTCCCTCAAGGGTTGAGATGTTGCCGGCCAAAACGAAAACTGAAGAATCCCCTCACTGACATGGAAACATTAACGGAGAACACAAACAGGAGAATCGGGAGCAGCATCAGCCACAGGAGTCCCAAACAAAAATTGGGAAAAGGAGAAAAGAAAAGAATATGAAATGTTGGCCAATGCTGATGGAGTGCCGGGAGACGGAAAGATACAACCACAACAAACAGCTCGAGGGGAGAAGAGGTGCCAAGAATCGGAAAAAGGAAGGAAATGCCAAGAAAGACAGGGCCAAAGAGGATTAAAACAGAGCAAACACAACAAAAAGAAAAAAGAAAAGGAAAGGCTAAATGGAGAGACGAGTGCCGGAAAAGAAGAAAAGCTAAAAGGTACATGGAAATGGAAGAACAAAGGCAAAACAACTTATAGCCAAAAAGTACTACAAAACAGGGGGCTTTAAAACAAGGAAACAAGGAAAGCTCCCTAATGGAAACTCCTTAATGAAGTTTTCATACACATATGAAAGGTGGAATTGAACGAAAAACTTGAGAGGGCAAACCTTCGAAAACAAAGAACAAAAAAAACGAGAAAACGGAATTGCAGAACCAACAGAAACCCATTTTCTTCTCTTTTTCTGACGGTGTTTTTTGAAGGTGTTAGAGGACTTTTCCAAAGGAAATATCTGGTAGTTATTGTGATAATTATTGGGATTTATTTACAGTATGGGTAACAGGCATGTATCAAACGCCCCACAACCCACAGAAGCAATTCCACAGCAGACTTTGTTTTAAAGGAGCTGTCAGCAGTTTAGTCAACTGCCAACGTCTACATATATTAATCAGAGCCAACCACAAAGAGAGTACCCATTGAAAGTGATTTGATGAGCATCAAGCCGGCAGGGCCCCCCCAGGATGCGAGCCGTGGGGGAACGTCCCGTCCCGTGCCTTGCCGCCTTTGAGTGTATCAGTTTCCTGGAAGTAGTATATTTACTTGGGTCATAAGCCAAACGCTTCAAGTGAAACAAAAAACCGGCAAGAGCGTGGAAGGAGCATCCAAGACAAGAGGGAGGCCTCTCCGTCTGCCTGCCTGCCTGTCTGTTTCGCTTTCATCTTTGCCCCCCGTCCCCGTCCCCGTCAACGTCCCCGTCCTGGGGCTGGGGCGGGACGAAGGCGGCTTGTCATTCGCCTTTTGTCAGACAGGTGGCCACTAGAGCATACTTTTCGCTCCCACTGTGTGGGCGCGTGTGTGCGCGTGTGGGGAAACTTCTGCAGCTTTACCCCGCCACCCCCCCAACCCCCACCCCCCCAGCTTAAGGACCATCCTCTTCAGCTGCTCCTGATTCTTGTGCACCCCGAACGTCTGCCTACTTTTAGGAAACTGAAATAATTTTTTCTTCATCTCATTATTATATTCGCCCCATCCTGTGGCATGCCTTGCTTGTTATTCATTGAATTATTATGTAATTGCACCCAAAGAGCAGAAGAGCTCCCCACCAGAGGCTGACAGAGACAGAGATAGGAGAGAGGGAGAGGGAGAGAGAGAACGATGGGCAGTGAGATTGCCATCAGAAACATGTTAAATCGCTTTAACAAAAAAGAGAAGAAAAAACCAAAAACTGCCACAATTTATCGGTTTGCTTCTGTGTGTGTGTGTGTGTGTGCCATGGACAATACGTATGTGTGTGTGTGTGCTTGGAGTGCCTATAAATATTTTGATAGCAGAATAAGCGGCAGCTACAACAACAGAAAAAATGAGCAAAGCCAAAAGCAGACACTCACCTGTCCAGGCTCACATTCAACCAGCCACTTGATAAGGTCAATACAGGCAGCACCCCCTACAGCAAATACAATAAAACAGGAGAGTAAAGTCTACAAAAGGGGATTTTCCGAACAAATATACAGATGATATGACCTGATACGATGACAGGCAGTATAAATGAGGTACATACGAAATTAAATAAAGGGATGACAAGATAGGATGGGCCATTATTATACGAACGTACTATGATATTATCTTTTTTACATTTAAAGCATTTCTGGGTAGACTTCGACAGCAATATTTAGGGTAGAATTACCTTTATTTTGAGTACTCTTCAGTACGGAGATTCGAACGCTCATGGAAATAAGAAATTGTAGAGAAAAGTTCCCCAATGCAAATTGGGGAAATAATCCATTAAAGAAAGGTCCTCTATAATATGATGCCCAATGAAATATAAACTGCAAGTTGGCGGAATACTACCCTACAATATATGGTATGGTAAGCTGTGTAAGATCTTCCTTGTACTTTGTTCCGAATGATAGCTGATATGATATATACCTCCATTGGTAGTCCTATGGCTGGTGTCCACTGTACTTGAGCGCTGCGGCAATTTGCCACAATAGCTAGCCCTCCCGATCCCCGTCTATCCCTTTCTTGCCGCATGAAAGGCAAATATTTGAAATGCGTCGCATGAAAATGTTTGCATTGTATGTGTGTTATGCTGTGTGTGTGTGTGTGTGTGTCTGTGTGTATCATAGATACAAGGCTTCAACCTGTCCCCCACTTTCTGGGAGAAAGATCAACCACATGCCCTTCGCTCCACGGGAATATTGTAGCCCCTACCCCGCGCTCTCTCTCCCCCTTTAAAGCTTCTGTGGAGCGCACTTTTGCCCATCGATTTTGCATTTTTCCTTATCGTTGTTGTTGGAAGAAGACTACCCCCAAAACCTACACACACACACAATTTCATTTATGTATTTTTTTTTTTGGGGTCAGCTTTTGTGATTCCTTTGTTATTCTTATTCTTACGTTTCGTTTTTTTTTTCTTCTCCTTTTTTACGTCCTGGACGGGGGCTGTCAATTGTTAACATTCTTGAACGGTGGGGTTGCCCGTCCCCACCGCTCCCATCAAAATTGCCAAAAATGTTGCACGGCATGTTGTGACCTCACTCACCTTGCCCCCGAGACCATCGAATGACTGACTGAATGACTGATTGATTGGGGGCGGGGCTGGAGCTGAAGTTGCGTGAGAACAAGCTGTTAGGGGCCCAGGGGGGAGAGCCTCAAGTGGAGTTTGTTTCTTGTAAATTTCCTCAAAATGTTTCTATTATGGAAATGAATGATAACAGATCGATCGGAAGAAGAACCAAAATAAATTCATAAGAGTAATATGCGAAATCGAATAATATCCGGGGAAAACTACTCGTATCTGTATCGTTCCTCCAATCACTAGAAACCCCAACAGAATCAGGGACATTTAAAGGATCAATCAAGTCGTAATCGTATGATATCCTGGCTAAGGTTAAGGCCTCAATTGCTCCACTTTCAAGCCGTCTAAGCTGCAAAAATAGAAGGTTTTCCACAGGCTTTCGGTTGCTGCAAAAATATTGTATATTTAAGCCACTCTTTAATCGCTTTCGAGCCGGTCTTAATCAGAAAATAGTTCTAGAGTACAATGCAGATCCGGGAATTGTTATTTATTTGATTTTGGTGTTTTTCCATGGCAAAAAGTTTGTCCAATAATTCGAAATAAATCTGATAATAAATACAAGGCACATGTGTCCAGCCTGTGGCAGCAAAAATATCATAATTTTAATTAAATCAATTTGTAGGAATTTTCTTTTGACTTGGTTTCTGCCATCTAAAGGCAAATATCAAAATGAATATTCCTTGGCCAAGGCACGGAGGAGACAACAAAAGGTCGCAGTGCCAGTGGTTATGAGTGTTCAAAGAAATCAAACACAGAATTTATTGGCAAGCAAAGACATTTTTCCAATCACTGAAATAATCCTTTTTGCTCTGAGATTTCTGTCCTGTCGCTCTGGGCGGTGAAAATTGAATGAAAGTACAATTAGAATGCATGCAACACAGAAACAGAAACAGAAACAAAAACAGAAATACAATCAAATTGAACGATGAAAAATGTGTGGCATGTTCTTGACACAGCAGCAGAAAATATGGTGGGAAAACATGGGCCAAGACTAAGGATTCAAATGAAAATGAAATGAAAATGGCAGCGAGTAGAACTGAAACTGAAAGCCAAACACGTTCCACTTTCCAGCGGAAGATCCATAGAGCCATTAGAGCACGACCCCAGGCCACCCCGTCAACCCCGTCAACCCCATCAACCCCATCATCATTATCGTCATCAAATTGGTTTTGTGGCTTTGTGGCATCCACTTCATTGTCTTGGGTGGGAGGCGGCCACCTCTTAAGACTGCTGCCTCTGCCCCCCGAAACGATTTTAAAGGCGGCGAGAGCACGCACAAATAAATTAAGCAAATTTATGGCTGACCAACCTGTGAACCCAACCATACCATCCCATCCCCCACTCAGTGTTGCCTCCCCGTGTCCTTACCACTGTTGCGTACTTGGGGGGGATACAGACTTTATTCATGCAATATTTTGTGTCTGTATTCAAGGATTACCCGCATGCATTTCGAAACAGTATCAGGTTGCTAGACAATACAATTTAAAACAGACTGACCAAAAAATATTCTACTCAATTAGGAATATATTTAACTCGAACTCGAACTCGCCATCCGTCATCGTTTTGCTTTGTATATCTAAGGGATGGAAACAGAACTTGGCTTTAAACCATATTAACACTCTGAGACACGATCAATACTCACTTTAGTTTACTTTTTAATTGGTTTCTGCAAGTCGACAGCGTCATGTAGCGACTCCTTGGCTGTCTCCAAATTATCGGACATCTCGGAGCGAGGCAGCTCCTTGGCTGTCTCCAAATTTTCGGTCATCTCGGAGCGAGGCAGCTCCTTGGCTGTCTCCAATTTATCGGACATCTCGGAACGAGGCAGCTCCTTGGCTGTCTCCAAATTATCGGATTTATCGGACACCTTGGAACGAGGCTTGGGCTCTACTAGAATCTTAGCTGATTTTTTATTTTCGCCAAAAAACTGCGGGAGCACGAGAAGTTCCAGTACTTGTGTCACCAGGACGAGGTTGAGTAGGCAAGAGCTCACCTGGATTGTGGTTATACTGTCAAAGCTCTCCACTGTGTCATCCACGGGAATCTTCTTCCAATTCATGATTGTCAGACTGGGGATCTTATATTTGCTGGGGCCAAAAAATGGTACCACGATTACACAAAAGCCTTGGCTTGTTAGATTTGAAAAATTTAGTTGTTCTATTCCGCTTCTCAATATATTCTCGTAAAAATTCACCCGTAAATCTTTGAAATCACAATCTAGACGAAAAAAGTACGCTCACGTCGGAACAAAAAATATTTACTGGGAATGAAACAAATATTGACTGTGAATTGCTCGGAAGTACTCGAACGAATGGCGAGAATACATATCTTCGACAACTATGAGTTTTGACAACCATTTCTTGGAGCACTATTCTGAGCAAAAATTCCAGCTGGAGAACATTGTCGATTGGAAAGGAAGCACTCTCTTTTAAGGCCTTCATTTGATCGATTTCTTGGCCCAAAGAGGTCTTTAGTTCTACCGAAAAATGTTGTCAATGAGTGTTGATTCACACTAAATACTGCAGGGGGGGCACTTTCTCCTCTCCTTTTGCCGACTTACTTTTCCGCTAGAATCCACAACCGAGTGTCTCTTTCATGTCGTTTTTCGTTTTTCGTTTTTCGTTTTTGGGCCTGACTTTGGCCGTTTTCGTGTTGTGTCTTTGATTGTCGTCGTGTTACCTTAAGCCCCTCCCCCCGCCCCAACCAGCCTGGCAGCCACCTCCTGTGTTCGGCTTAAATAGGCTTAAGCAACGCCGGCTTCTGGCTCTGGCTCTGGCTCCGGCTCTGCTACCCGGAAGCTGGCAAATGCTGGTACTGGAGGAGGGAGGTTACATGGAAAACGTCTGTAACTTTCACAATTTCAGCTCTCTCATTTCGTTTGTTGCCACTGAGCGGCATTTCATTATTAATGGAACTTTGATTAAATTGCGAGTCGTGAGCCCTGAGCCTGAGCCCTGAGCCTGCCCTCTCTGCTCTGCACTCCATGGCACTGCCCGGAAAGATAGATGCTCTTTAAAAACAAAAAAATTCTCTAACAAATTTTCGCAAATCAGCCAAAAGCGAGTGGCGCGCATCCGTTTCGGCATCCAAATTCCTGGCCCGATGGGGGGGGGGGGACTGTTGCAACACAGCAGAAAATTCGATTTTCGCTGGCTTTAGGCTCTTTCGCTCTTTCACCCAGGCCCTGGCAATTGATGCTCTTAACCCGCTGCCCAAATATGATTTGTGAACGCTACTACCAGACAATGGTGGCCCGGAGAGCAGCGGCAGATATCGAGTTGCAAATTTTCTGTGCGGAAACATAACGCATGCTCTGCTGAATGGCAGTGCCCTCGCCAGCACAGGCAAATATTCGGAGTGCCGATGCACTGTGCGGACTCTTTCAACGTATTCTGAAGGCAAATTGTTCATTTTGCAATCATTATTCCACAGTTGTGGCAAGGAGCAAATGCTGTAGTGTCTTCCTCGGGCATTTTGGAGCATAAAGGCTAACTTTAAAACACTTTAAAGTATACAATTTGTAGGAAAATATATTTAGTTGAAATATAAAAAATATTCATTTCAAAAGTGACGTATATTTCAAAGCATCCATTTTCTCTGGGTGTAGGCAAGCGTCCCCTTTGGGATATGCAGAGTACAGGGAGGGAGACCCTCAGAAAGCCTCAGAAAGGAAAGCCTGAAATTGCATATATGCAAAGCCTGAATGCAGGGCCAAGCCCAGACCCCTCGACTCGGAGAAGATCGGGATTTATTTAAGATTTATTTCCTACGCATAGCTGCTGCTGCTGCTGCTGCTGCAGGATGAAACAAATCATTGGAATTCCGCCGGCATAAAATACCTTTATATTTATCCTTTTTGTGGAATTTTTTGTTCCTGTTTAATCCCCCTCCCCTCTTGTGCTCTCATCAGCGACACGTGGAGCGCATTCCGGGCAAAGAATTAAGTATTTTAATGGCGCAAAATAAAGAATAAAAAATAAATTAACCTTCACTCTTTCATGGCTTGCTTTTAATTTCCTGTGGCAAAAAGGTGAAAGGAGAGGGGCAGGGCTTAGATGCTGTGCCAAGTGCTCGCACAGCCATAGAGCCATAGAGTAGCCATGGAGACATCATTCGGTGGCAAGGTCAGTGCCAAGCGGCATGTTTCATGGCATGCATTAAAACCAAAGCCAATTTGAATTGAAATTAACTTTGATGGCAGGCTTTGGCGACACACCGGCTAGAAATGAAGTGCATTCACGGCGGTGGCTAAGACGACCTTGGCCCGTGGTCAAAGCCACCAAAACCAGCAAAATCACTTCCAATTTTCATTTATGTAATAGCCGCGTGGAGTCGTGGAACCAGTTAAATCTCTTTCCAAGTCAATTAACATCCCCAATAGGGCGGCCCACTCGAACGAGAGGGGGGGGAAGGGATAGGCATAGCGATGGGGGCTCAATCGATATGAAAAAGTTATTATTACCAAATCGAATCAAATTAAGGCCGTGCGTTATTTCAAAATTGATTATGACTGATTTATGAATGGGGGGGGGGAGAGAGAGAGATGGGGAATGGCACAGATTTTCTAATAGAATTTCTCAGTGGCCTTTAGAGGCAGTTGGGCAATTAATGCCAATTAAAATGTTCCACCAACAAAATGCCAGAGCAAAGCAGATTTACTTCCCTTTCACAATTTTACACGATGGCTCGGACAAAACAGTTTTGATCTGCACTGCACAGGCACCCAATTAGCAGCTCGTTTAAAACAAAATCAAATTAAAGTTAAAGTTAAATGTTAAAGTTAAAATTTGCATGCCCTCCACTAATATTTGGTATGCCCTCGAAGCACAGAATATTTTGATTGTTATTCTCAAAAGAAAGAGATGTAATAAGTGGAAATTCTGATGCCACAATTACTTTCTTCTTTGACAAGAATTTGTTGCAGAATGAATGCCGAATGCAGAATGAGTTTTCTCTGCTTTAAGGCGTGGAGGATTTTTCCCTAAAGTTGAATAGTTGAAGGTCGTTGCCGTAGCTCCCTTTTGGCTCAAATTTTAAAGCGAATGTGTTGTTGGCCCTCTTTGACACTCATTTAGCATTCATTTGGTTGCGGGTTTTGGGGGGCATTGAAAGTGAAGTTGATATATGGCTAATGATGTTGACAGTTCTCTGTGTGTGTGTGTGTGTGTGTGTGTGTGTGTGTGTGTGCGATGAGTACACGGTACAGTCGTGGGTGTGGATGTGTGTGTGTAAAAGTAACAAAAGAATGACGTTACAGAACGTATGAGGCAGTGACTGGGGAGGAAATCCTTTGTTAACTTGAGGAGAATGGGGCGGATCGAGGCGTGGCAATCAACACATATGAGGTTTATTGCCTTCGCTTCCTTGTTTGCCTGTAAATGCAAATTGATTTTGTTCTTGTTGTTGCGCCGCTGATGGAATGCCCAGGCAAAGCAAGCAAACCAAATCAAATATGAGCTCTATGAATCGCAATAAATAACGATGGCAATGAGTAATTCTGAGACCCCCATTGGCTTCGGTATCGGTATTCTACTGCATCGAAACGCTGCATACGTATGCGTAATGCGAAATTGAATTGATTGCAAATGTTGAACACACAGTTGCAACTGCAGGAGGCAATCGAGTTTGATCAATTCTTGACTGGTTGTTGGTTGTTTCCCCTCCCCCTCCCCATCCCCCTCCCCATCCCACCATTGTGGTTTGTATTTGTTGCTTTTGCGAGTACTCTCCCTGTGCTTTGTGGCTATTTTAGATGCTCTTCCAACTGTATGCTGCAACTTTCTTTGGGCTGGCACTTTCCCCTACTATTTTGCCTGCTGTTCGAACTGCAATTACTTTAAGTGTCACGCCCCAGGGCGGAAACTTTGAAATGTCCCCGAAAAAAACCACACAACTTGCGAGACACAAACTGATAGGCCAGGGGGAGGTGGGAAAGAGTCTGTGCGAGGACGAGTGCAAGTGTCAACACGGAGGCGAGACGTGCTTCCGGCTCAATGGAAGCCTGCCCCATCACCCATATCCCTGTTGGGGCGGGACTGGGGCAGCATCGCATTGTGTGGCCGCCAGTGTGCCATTTCTCTGGTGGCTAAGCGAGCCGAAGGGTTTCCCCCATTTGCATAAAATTGCAGTAACATCCTTTTTGCCTCCATCTGTATCTGTATCTGTGTGTCACTCTCCATGTGCGCGTATGCGTGTCGGTCCATCTGTCCGGTTGTTGCACAAATTGTTGTTCTGCTAGGGCCCTGGGAGTCCTGCGATAGGCATTGCCCCAAAACCCAACGGAAGGCGACCTTGATTATGCAACAAATTTTGTGACTGCAATCCATTCATTTTGCATTACAATTCAGTGACTTTCAGTAAAGGCTCAACGAAGCGTTAAATTAATTTAAAAAAATTAAATTATTATTATTTATCTTGGATATTTTTCTGCAAAGATTTAAACTAGTTTTTGCCAAAAATAAATTTTTTGTTTAATAATAAAAATCTCATACCTGTGGGGTTTTCGGTAGAATTGGATTCTGGTGTGGGAAAACTCTCAAATGTAAGACATTTCTCTCAGACACGTCTCCCTCTCTCTCTCTCTCTCTCTCTCACGCTCAACGCGAGCTCTCCTCAGCTCATCCCTTTTGATCCTCTCTTAAGGATGGGACAGCCAGTGGACCAGAGCTAACACTGCCAACAATCTCCTAGTGAAACACCAAACAGACCAAAATACACTGAGAATAAGCTTAGGCACCGACATATCCATGTCTTTCTGTACAATTGACTTCCATTTTCATTACATTTGAGGTGAAAACCAATTCTTACAGTCATCTTTTCCTTTATTGTTATCTTCTATAAACTATATGACTCCTGATATTTCGTAACCCGGAAGTTCCGGAAAGATGTTATATGGACAATCAATATTTCAAACAGATTCGCAGACCCAAAAACCACTTCCGTTTTTGGTAAGGTTGTATTTTGGCTACATACTTTCGGTTATTGTAAGTTTTTTGGATAATATAGGGCTGCTCAAACTTGGCTCTTTATTGGGATCAAGAATACACGAATACAAGACCCTTTGAGAAATGCAGGCAAACATTTGAGAGAGATTCACCAATATTGCGATTGCCACCGGCAGGTGGCAGCTTTGCCTTTGACCCATAGTTTTCTTTGCAATCAAAAAGCGATAGCCCCTCACCTGGAAAACAGAAAATGTTTCTATGGCAATGAATGAAGTTCGAATGGTGCATTTAAAGAGATTGCTTAGTATTTTGCATTTGGCTAGCAGAGTGGGCCATGGGGGAGCATTCAAATGAAATAACTTGTAATATCGCGATGTTCAATCATATTGCCCGGAGGACGACCTTTCGCGGCCTTGCATCCTGCTTAGCCTCTGGCATCCTTGGGCTTATTGAAGGAACTGAGAGGCAAAGGGAAACAGGAACTTCAATATAAATCACAGTTTTCCCCTCAGTAATGCAATCAAAGGCTCTAAAGTTAATGAGCTAGAATGTTGCTCCCTCTCTCTCTCTCTCCTCCCCTCTGGAGCCTCCCCTCTGGAGCCTGCCAGCAATTAGTGGATGTAAAGTGCAGGTACAGCGGCACGAGTTTCGGTCACAGTTCACAGGTTAATTATGCAGCTTGTTAGAATACACAGCCCCTGCCCATCTCTCCTCGAAACCGAGCTTCAAGAAAAGCCAGAAACCAGCAGCGCCAAAAAATGAAAACAAACTTTTTTTCAACGTTACCTCCAAAAAAGAAAACAGAAAACAGAAGAGAAAATTCAGCCAAAGGCGATGCTTCACTGATGAGACCAGTGGGTGGCAGCCTCGCAGCAGTGGAATTGTGGTGGGGCGGAGTTCCAGGGAGAACACATGTTCGAGTTCGAGTTGGAGTTCGAGCTCGACCTCGAGCTTGTTCGTTCCGCTTTCCAGCTGAAGCCCAAATGGAGGACCCATATCCATCGCAAATGGCTGTCAAGATTTTATGGGCAGAGTGTTGAAACTTTCTGTCTATAGTTGTTTCAGAATCTTTAATTTTTCTCTTCATGATAGATCTGAGTGGCACTTTCTCATATGTAAACCGAAATGGGTTCGGGGAGATGTTAGCCCTACCCACAGCACTTCACAGTCTCTATTTTTTGTCTGTGTGTGTCTTTGCCCCCCCCATTTTTTTGTCACTTTGGAGTCGAAAGTTTTTTTGCTTCGCGCGCGGGTGCTAATTAGCGTATTCACTCGCTTGGAAATGGAAAATGGGAAAACAAACCCTCGCAGACCTCCCTCAAAAGTATGCAACAACGTGGCAAGAGAGTATACCAAAAAGAGAGCCAAAAACTTGGCCTCAAACTGCTTTTAACCTTTAACCAAAACTTCTGTTTCGCAGCAAAAACCAAACGAAAAAAACACAGCAAAAAAACTTGACAAGAAACCACCTGAAATGTCCGGAAACAGCAACGACAGCAACGGCAATGGTGGTGCAGGCCAGAAGCAGGCACCACCGCCCCAGTACATTATAACCACACCGAGCGAGGTGGATGCCGAGGAGCTGCGCTCGATGGAAATGGACATGGAAATGGGATCTCCTGCGGGCAGCGAGGACAGTGTCTTTGCCGGCTCGTCCACCACGGCGGCGGCGGAACAGAGGCGCCTCCAGCAGGTGAAGCATAGCCAGAAGTTCAGTAGCCAGACGTCGAGCTCGAGCACCACCAAGGTGGCCACACGCTCCTACTCGGTGACCAGCAGCAGCACCAACAATCTATCGTCCATACAGCAGCAGCAACAGATCCAGCAACAGCAGCAGCAGCAACAGATCCAACAGCAGCAGATCCAACAGCAGCAGATCCAACAGCAACAGACCCAACAGAAGATCATCTCCAGCTCAACGCGAAGCCAGAGCCTGCAGTCGAGCACGATTGTGGGAGAGCAGAGCACCCTGCAGCTGAGCGCCAGCGCCGCCGCCGCCCTGGCCCAGCAGCTGAAGGCCCAGTCCTCGACGTCGATAATCACCAGCGAGCAGAGGACCAGCACCAGCACGAGCAGCAGCAGCAGCACCCGGTACATAGCCAGCGGATCCAGCAACCAGGCGGTGGGAAACTCGGCCAGCACCACCAGCAGCAAGTCGAAGTTCCAGAGCTTCCTCCAGCAGCCGGAGGGCGGATCGCACGGCTTCCTCACCGCCCACCAGAAGCACGTGCGCCAGTTTGTCCGCTCCACGTCGGCCCACTCGGAGGCGGCCGCCGGCATGACCCCGGTGAGTGGTGCCAGGCCTGAGAAGTGCATACGGAGCGCCTCCACCCAGATCGATGACGCCACAGCGGCACTGGGTGATGGCAATGGCATCGGCAGCAGCAACCTATCGGACAGCACCGGGACTGGCGGATCCATGCAGCTGTCCATGTCGAAGCTGGGACTGCAGCAGTCCTCCTCGATCCTCATCTCCAAGTCGGCGGAGACCATCGAAATGAAGAGCAGCTCGGCGGGCATGCGCACTCAGCTGACCCTGAGCGGGGGCTTCCTGGCGCCGCCCAATCGCAAGATCACCATCTTGAGTCCCATCCATGCACCGCCCGGCCTGCACGACATGCTGAAGCGGGCCGGTCGCTCGCCCCTGTCGCCCAGGATCAGTTTCCCCGGCAGCGAGACGGATCTCTTTGGGTGAGTCGTGTTTGGGGATTGTACGAATTTCAGGCGGAAAGGCTAGAAAATTGCCAAGATATTGGTGAAAAGGAAAATCAAAGTGTGCTCTCTTTGACCTTAAACTAGAAATTATATGTCCCCCCCTTAATATTTCCTGGTCTACCCATGGTATGCCTCTAAAATTCCATCTAAACTTTGGCCCATTTTGCCTTCAATCAATTTGCGTGGCCGAAATTCAGGCACCGACCTGACTCTGCTACATCGTACCCCCTGGCTAATGAACTTGTTTATAACCATGTCCCTGTCCATGTCGCATTTCTGATGTCCAGGACTCTTGTGGCACATTGAACTCGCTGCTAATTGTTGACTTGTTGTTGCAAATTGCTTGGGGGCGATGCTCAGAGGCCAGACCAGACCAGACCAGGCCAGACCCATCGTTCCATCAGTCGGAGAATGTCATTGGCAACAGAGGGGCACACCGACGCACACAGACGCACAGGCCCCTGCTTCTGGTCTCTTCCGCCCTGCCATCGTCTTGTGGCGTTGTCAGAATGCCAAAATTGTTTGTCATAGTCGTATAATTAAATTTAAATGTTTTTAATTTTTCGTACCCTGTTCACTGTCTCTCTACCTCCTCTCTGTCTCTGGCAAAGGCACACTGTGAGATATATTAATAACATCAGGCTGAGGAAAAGCTATGGGGAAAACCAAAAACAACAAAAACAACAACAGCCACACAAAAACAAGAAAAGATGCGAATTATTTTAATGAACCCCAGAAATGGCAAATGGGCCAAAGGAGCCAAAGGAGGCAAAGGAAGCGAAGGATGCTAAAGCAAAGTGGGGGGTAATTGAAGCTGCCAGGCCATGAAAATTTCCGTTTCCTTTCGTTTTCCTTTCGACTGCGCTCAGCTTAAAAGGAATATATCAGGGGGGGGGTGGACGGGGCTGCGGGGGAAGGGAAAGTTAAACAATTATTGGCATTATGTCCATTAAATGTATTTAAATTTAATTGCCAGCTAAAATCGAGCAAATTCCGCAAAAAACCGAACCTCAAAGGCCAACAGCAGAAGGACCATTTTTGATACCCTTGGCATTTATGTAGATATATATATATATATTCCTAGTGACCTGTCCTGCCACATAAATGGATTGCAAATAAATCAAATGATATATTAGATAATATTAAATTCGCTAATGGATAAGCACAAATTGACAAATGACAGGACGGCGAAAAGTTGTAAGCAGTACAGCATTCGTTGACGCATAAACTCGTGCAAATTTGTTGCTGCAACGCCAACAAATTTCAAATTAAATTATCATCATCCGGGGGCAGAGACATATTTTTTTAGGCAAAACGGTAAATGGTAAATGGAAAATGGAGCAGCCAGTCAGTCGGAAATGTGAAAAAACAGGCTCGATTTCATGCACGAGATTTATGTGGGTAGAAAAATGTTCAGTAATATCTCAATTCAAATTACTTCAATTAATTCAGTGATTTTCGTATTTTTTTTTTTTTGTTGTTGTGAAATTCCATGGTAAACAAATTCATAAATTAACAAAAAATAGGTACACAAATTTAAAATGATGCTTCAACATTTATTTGAGCTAATTTTTAGTTGTCGGAATAGTTTTGTTTGCCTGTTGACTTTTATGGAATCAGAAAGTGGAAAAATGGAATTAAAATATTTGAAAACTATTTATTTGCGAGAGTAAACACAGTCGCTTAATTATTCCAATCGCAAATGAGAATCTGCATTCCCAACGTTTTTGCAAGTGAAAAGGAAATGGTAAACCGTATGGGGGCCCAACTTACTTACTTACTTAAGCACCTTATCAGTTAGTTGACAGCCCAATTTCCATCTCATCTCATCTCATTTCAGCTGAACTCCACCTGTTAGTCGGAGCATTAAATTCCAAATCAAAAATTCCCTTAGGAATTATGAAAATGGGGAAAATTCCCAGAGGCACAGGCACAGGCAGTGTGGGTGGGTGGAGACTTTAAAAATCCAGACAGACTCCCCGGCAGGCCGCAACATTTGCATAGCTTTGGCCACAAGTACCCAGGGTATGCCTGGGCTCCTGATTGGGGTCGTGGTTGGGCATCCCCCCCAGATACGGAGGAAAAGATAAATCTCTGGGAGCTCGAGGCTCAACTTTTGGGCTTTCCGTATGCGTGACTTATGTTTACAGTTTATTTATTATTAAAAACATACAGACAAATGGTCCGAAAAGTCATATATATTATTGTTGCTGTTGCTGGCAGAGTCCTGGGGATGTCCCTTCTGGGCCTCATTTATATACCATCCGAAAGTTGTTTTCCACCCAATGAATCGAAATTGTTGTTGTCCAAGGCAGAAAAAAAAAGGAACAGCTAATGTCTGTATATTTAAACTTCAATTTGGTGAGCAATCTTTAAGCTATCAGGGGATCGACCGATGACGCAGGCCGCATTTTTTATCAGCCCCAACGCAGCGATACCCCCCTCCGCAGCACCGCCGCCAAACCGAACGGGGTATTCCCCGAACGAACAGCGAGGTTCCTGCGGTTTCGGCAAAAAAGGTCGGTGTCGGGACTCAAAGCTGCACTGCTGGGGTCGGGGGTTAATTCAGTGATTTTCATGGAAATCTGTGTGTGCTTTTGGTGGAGGGGGGAGGTGCCAGATAGTGCTGTGAAAGCCGAGTCGGGGGGGAGGATCTGGTGGAGCTGTGGCATAGAAGGATGGCCTTTATCTTGTGTGTTCTACGATTTGTATGGAGAACATTATTTATTTGTATATTATTCTATTTATTATTTACAACATGGTATATCAGAGATCTTTCTCAATCTGTCAATCTGTCAATCTGTCGAAAAACACATCCCATCTGTTGAGAAGCACTTGCTGTGAATGTTCATCTATCATCCGTAATCTCTTTAGCTTTCATTCGACTAATAATAACTCTCGAATGGGCATTGGACCACCCCTAATTGGGATGACAGTGTCCACACATACACCCATCGGCGCTCTTAAAGCCAATTCCTTTTGAGGGTCCTCCCCGCTAACCGCTAACATCATTCTGTTTGACCTTAACAGCTCTCGCCTAAGCTCTCTGGCATTAGTTGTTCTTACTTGCCGGACATCTTGGCTGCTCCGTCCAGCTTTCGGGCAACACTTTCCAACTGGCTCTTGAAAAAGTTGTTCCCCTTTTTTGTCGGTGAGAAAGATGCTGGGTGTTCGTCCTCTAAGCGGCAGAGCGGAGAACCCTTTTTAAAGGCCTGGACGACAGGCCCCCTACTCCCCCCTATCACCCGGACAATGTTTGCATGGCAGCGCGTGCCTTTGTTTGCATATTGTATTCGCGGAGTCCTTCGGCTTCCGCTTCCCCAGGGTCCATCCTTCTTCACTCGAGTGCTGCATACTTTCAGGCGCTAATGAAGGCATATTTGCTCGCCACTCGGTGGGATGGATGGGCCCAGACGCGCACGGAAGACGGGGGAAGGATGGATGGATGCTTTATTAAAGTTTCAAATATTAGAGAACTGTCCACAGTCCACGCTCCGTCCTTGTCCAACACTGGTTCGCCTGCCACTCTGGTGCTTGACTAATTCTTCTTGTAGAGCGAATAGTCCTCTATTCTGTATTGGTTTGTTTGCCCATTCCACCCTCCCTCACTCTCTCTTTATCTCTCTTTCTCTTTCTTTGGGTGGCAAATTAACACAACTAGTGTTGGCTGTGACCCAAATACAGTGCTGTTGAGTGCCCTGATAGAATCGCAATAATTTATGCAACTCATTTCAATTTTAAATCAACATTTATGATATTTTCGTGCCATATTTATGCCATAACATCAGACTGCAGTGTGTGTGTGTGTGGGGGGGGAGCACAATCAAAGGCCCCATCGTTACAACATATTTACGATAATTAGTAGGCTTCAAATCAACTATAAATTACGCCTCTTAAATAGCTTCTCCCACACTCTCTCTCCCTCTACCTCCACCTTCCGCTCTGTCTGTCTCCAATTTTCTGTATGCCCATTTATGCCCATCGGAACGCTGCTTTCTAATACCGGATACTCAAGGAGAGTATATGGCTATATTAGACTTGGAATGACAATGGCTTGTGTAACACCCATAAGGAAGCGAGAGACGAGAAAATCAAGAGTGCAGATTCGTAAAGACTAGCCATATCTACCAGATCGCCGACCCTGAATAACATCTGATTATTATTATAGCCACAAGGAACAAATTAAATTTCAGTAGTTACCCAACCCCCCTCTCTCTATCTCACTCTCACACACACTCTTCGTCGTGCAGTGTGCAGCCTCTAGCGGAGGAGAGCCATACTGACTACGTATTGGGTATAAATGTAGAGCCGCGGCCCTATCTGCGACTCCCAGCGTGACACTCAAATATTATGCCTGGAATTTTAGGCAACGGCAAGACAAAAAGAAGAAAAACCCACAAAATGCTAATGAAAATCGCGTTAAGTTGTTAATTAGCATAAAACGTTGCAACATAATGCACTGATGATCTATCCATCTAAGCAATCTTTTATCCCATGGCCCTGGCCCTGCTTCTGCCCCTGCCCCTCGGGGCAAGGTTAATGCTGACATTACAAATATTACGCATACGAAACGTGTGACATTTTGAAGGTAAACCTCTTCCTGGCCCCGGGCTTAAGTAAGAGACGAGGCAGCATAAGAGCCTGCCAGCTCGGATGGCCATTTGAAGTATATCCCAAAGATAAAGGCAATCTGAGATGGGTTAGACAAACATTGAAAGGGAGCAAGACAATGAGACAGAGAGAGAGAAGGAGAAAGAGAGAGAAAAAAAGCAAGCCAGAGAGGAAAAGCGAGGCAGAAAAAGTTGGAAAATCCCGTGAACTGAGAACTGAGGTCCCCAGTGGCACAAAGGTGAAGCCCGGGTATGAGAGAAGCAATGATAATAAACACAGGACCATTAAAATGAAAGGGACAGAGAGGAAGAGAGCAAGCGAGAAAGGAATGTAATTTATTGCATTGCAAGGGGAGGAGAGCTGCC